GGAACCCTTCTTCCTTGCATCCTACAATTACTATTAAGTACTGGTTTTCCTGATCTAGTATCAGGCTTTCTTACCATCCTTCTACTTTTTATTATGCAATCCATGAATATATATATGGAAAACATGAAATTATTATATTTTTTTTCATAATATATGACGCGGGGAATCATTAAATGCTGAAGATAAGCATTTTATTACAGCAGTGCACGGGATTAGGGAAGAGTAGCATCCCAACCCCACAAATACTACATCTTCTCTATCCTAAAAGAAAGAGAGCTCCTTTGAATATCTACTCCTCCTCCCGAAGTTCCAGTGCGGGAGGAGGAAGTAGTCGGTCAGTTTGGTACTCTTGAGTGCTGGTGAGGATGAGTACTCGTGTATTCATCCAACCACCCTAAAGTTCTGAAGAACGTAGAGGAGTAGAAGATTCAGTATATCAGTTCTACAGATTGTCTCTTTAAATACGCATGAATGCCAGGGGAAAATTAACACAAATCTTACAAAAAATGAATGTAAACAGGCTATTTGGAATGCAAACAGGAATGTCAATTTTATGTAAAATTGATGTTAATTTTATATCACCGTTTATGTATCACAGAGGTGACATTTCTGCAAACATGTTGACATTTTCTTGACAATGGTTTGCGTAAAAATGATATGAAATGGACAAAAAAGTTGCATTCATTTTACGTAAAATTAACATAAACATGCTGTTTGGGCAGCCATATTGAAATTTACCTTGCATGTCCTGCATTGCAGCCACACTGAAAACTTTCATGCATTGTCCCCATATGTTGCACGTGGCATGCCTGTTGTACTTATGTTTTACTTAGAAGCGGTAGGACCTCACTAGACCCAGGTTGAAGTCAGACTTAATAGTGCAATTCATTTTGTAGAAGGCATCACTTTGAACCAATGTTGTTCTTTTTTTAACTTTCACCAGGCCATGTGGGGTCGCTTTTGAACCTCATGCAGGACTTTAGTAATGAAATGCCAGAAGCTGCAGGAAAGACTGCAATTTGAACAGGCAATTAAATGATATCTATTAAGCATCAATAACATTGGAAATATGGCTGAAAAGTGCAACTGATGTCCATTGAGGAATTTCCCAAAAGGCCTGGGGAAGCTTAATAGATTCAATCAAGGTTTTAAACCAGAAACATCACATTGGATTAGATGCACCCTATGAATACGGCATAAAAAAAGTTGCGTTCACGACGTGATGTGCCCAATCAAGCCATGAAAAACATTTTATCTCTCAGAAAATTTTTATTTTAAGCGAAGCCGAATAAAAAAATAAACTGAAAATATTGCACATAATTCTTGAACATCCACAAGTTCACATATCTTTCTTCCATGGTAACTATGGACATAAACAGTTAAGCTGCAATTTCTTGCAACTTATATTTTTCTAGAGCTTCTTGCTTAAATGAAATTATGAATATCTCTAATTGCATGTATGCAGCAATTTCTTAGGATTTACTTGAGCTTCGTCAAGAGACGCCTTACAGGCTGGCACAATGGAGCCACTGTAAGACTGAATAGGCACCTTTACAATATGTCTAATGCCTTCCTATTCCATGGAGGGAACGCAATGTTAAATATGAAGAAGGAACAAAGACTGTAGAAAAGCAGGTCATCTGATTCCAGTTCATCCACTTCCACTCTGCTAAGAAAGAGTTTCCATCCATCGCCCTTGACTGCAACTGGGAGTCCTTCGCAATTTTCTGACAGCTGAAATTAAGACGAAATTAATGGAATTATGCTGAGGAAAATATTTAAACAACTTCCACAGCAAATTTGTCATGCATTGAGAGGATTTCAATACATATTATTGAACCACCACGAGGGGGAAATTATGACAGTCTGTTACATTCTACACTTAATGAAAAGGGCTGGATTTTCTTGGGGGAAATAAAGGAGATCAATCAATTCAGTGCACCACGTTTTCCAGGCAACTTGCAAAAGCCTTTAGAGATGTCACTGATTTTTATCTGCAGTTCACAGGGTGAGCTTATAATTGCCAGCACAACTCGGGACTTCATTAAAGTAAAACTTTGAAGGCTTAATATGAGAAGCTTAGGAGGCACTCACAGATGGTGAATAACTGATGAGGCATGGAGGCTTTTTGAAGTGAGAGCATAGAAGTCTATAAAGCTCTGAGCTAGGGACATCTGACAAACAACATGGAAAACTTAAACAACCCCAAGTCATAGGTTTTGATTCACAAAGAAATGATGAACAAAGCCTAACCACAGTTCAGCGCATCCTTTAGTGGCTTGACTGCCTTTTTTGACTTTTAGCAGCAAGAACGGGATTAAGTCTTTGAACATGTAGCCCAGCTTTTTTTAAAGAAGCTTTTCGCTCCCCTCTCTTCTGGACCTGATCGGTGCCTCTACGCCCTAAAATGACCCATCTTGCTTTAATTAAGACCTCCTTGCTCCTCTCAGAGTCGCAATCCTTGAATTACGGGCCTATGATTTGTTTCCCTCTCTTTCTCGAGCCATCTCAGCGAGAATGTGTAACACTGGGTTATCACGTGCTACACTGAAGTTTGTAACGTCTCCTCAAAGATATCTGCTATAGGTTACGTCGCATCCGCCAACTCGTAGAGCACGTGCTCATTCCACATGATGCCCAGTGATCGCCCACCTCATATGGGGCACTTCTATTTTCCTCAACGAAGTAGCTGTCACTGCTTCAATCGCATATCATTTTAACAATAAAATATGAACATGCATAACACTCAATACGAATTGTGGTGTCGGGCACAGAGTTTAAAGCAAAATCATCGATGAAACTGAAATATAATATTGGGCATCCATGGCGATGAAGTGCTAGGCCGGACTTTCAAAGGGTTCAGGAAATACGTCGTTTTCAGATTGAATTCGTACCAAGTGGCTGTCTTTTGGCTGAAGAGTCAGGGGGCCAGGGCAGGAAAGTGGGGGTGCCCAACCCCATCCGAGTGATATCAGCGATATCATATTAATGTTTTTCATTTGAGTCAGACACTGTTTCAAGTGACTTCGGCACTCATGCATGAGGAACGTCCCATGCACGTGTGTCCGAATCAAGGGAAAAAATTGTCTAACTCAAGTGAAAACACTATCGCCAAAGAGGCGCCAAGCTCTGTCTCATGGGTGACCCGCTCCCCCCCCCCCCCGTAAAATACGCCACTGTTCGTACTCCATTAATCCCCAATGCACACGAAAAGGAGCACTTCCATCAATTGCAGATAGCGACACCGATAAGCGCGGTTATTTAAAACCATTTGATGAAGGATGTCCTCTGGAGTCTGAGCTTTCTTTCTGTTTTCTTCTTCCCGGGGTGGGGTGGGTTAGTACTATGAATTCAATCCGAAAATAATTTGCCTGTGCACAAATTGATTCAAGATGATAGGCTACAAATACTGGTATTCTTTAACGTTAGACAAACCTATTGTGGGAATATAGTGGCTTTTGAACTTAGAGCCCGAATGCACAAACCTCACTTTGGGGAGATAACGGGGCCTTTTAGCGAAGGAGCTCTTTTTCTCTCATAGGAATCCATGTATTCTTAAAGGCTGTTAACTATCTATAGTTAACAGTCGGATCTTACCATACTGGCGATACGTGTTACACCACCAACGCACCAAACGGAATACAAACACCGTATGAAACTGGACTCGAAGAATGAAGTAAGCGGTTAAATGGGAATCCCTTCAAGACGCACGAGCCACTCGCACGGGTCGGAGGGAAGGTGAAGTGGCGAAGAGGCCATGCACTCAGGCGGTTGCGTGTGAATCCCTCGACTGTCAATGCATTGCCTCGAGGGTTCATGGGGGGGAAAGAGGGGGGGAGGCTTCCTCGGCACGAAGTGGAATACGGAGGTTAACATGCGTCTAGACGATGCAAGGCAACTCAAACCACCAACTCGACTCGGCTTTTAGACGCATTTTGGTTTTGAAAACGCCTTTCAGGCGACCCGGCACGGTCGGGAAGCGAGAGATATGAATCGAAAATCCAGCTGATGTCTTTTTCTCTTGAGAAAAATACATCGAATTGCGAAAATTGAGAGAAGTATATCGTCTCGATTCACTGATTTCTCTGAGTGTATCCCGCTAGAATAATTACAGTCGTTCGTCACAGCGAACATTGTAAACACTGTACGTTTTGCTGCAGGGAGAGGACATTTTTTCAGGTTCCTGCCACAACGGAAAAGTGCTCCTGCTGCAACTCTCACATTTTCAGAGCCTCAGAATAGTGTTGGTCACTGGTCCTAATGTGGCGGCGAGGCATTTTCAGGAATTATTCGTGAGTATTGTGCCGCATATGCGCTAACTTCCTTCCGTGCTAAAGTCGAACAATTTCTTGGAAATGGTCCGTACTAATTTAGAATCAGTAGCATCTGTACAATAAGCTAATGCTAATAGTCCCATGAACTAATCGATGATGCAAAAGTAATGAATTTGCTGGGTCAACGAAATCAGCAAAATCGTCTTGAGTCTCATGAAAAGCTGCTAAACCGATGCGTTCACAATGGCGATTGTGGCAATGAGTTCGAATATCATGATGATGGTGGTTTGGAACAAAAAGTTTCCCTGTGTATTGTAAGCTGTAAGTGTATAAATATAATGATTTTATTCGATGTATACATATTTTCCGGTCAAGTCCGGAATGGGCAATGCGATAAACAGAGGATGTCAAGGACACGTTATGCTCACGATAGACTAATTATTAGTATTCAAATTTCCGCCTATTAGACGGCCAGCGTAGCGGACGCAGGCCGTTAGTATGGTTTAAATCACTATAAACATTAATACCAATGTCTGACGTAACGAGGAACAAAGGCCGCGCGGGAGAATCATGGGTGTGTGTCAAGTGAGTCGGGTCGAGATTCATGTAGGAGAACATAGTCTGTGGAACACACCGGTTGTCCCTCAATCCTTTGAGATTCCAATCTCTATTGATCTCTCCCGACCTTGGTTGCCAAAATAAACTCATTGTATTACTAACAAGGAGTCAAAGGAGTCATTACAAACCTCGGACGCGCGGGCGATCTGCTCGTGAGAATTTTTTACCCTTGAATCACGTCGGAGCCGCCTATAATATATAATAGTATATCCCCTGGTATTTTCAATTTTACCTGGTATTTTTTGGGAAACACGTTTTGCATGAATTTGTTTTGCTCCAGTGAATCGGGCAGATGTAGAAGGTGAAACTTATTACAGAATTAGCTGTTGCTATGAAAAAGCTCGGGAAAGTTTGCTTTCCCGAAGGGTAAATAAACTTGCTGGTATGTATTATATACGTATCCTACAAAGGATTTTATCGAAGTTTCAGAAAGATGACTAAGATATCTGCCGCATTTCTCAAAATTTCATTTTGTTACTTAGTTGGCATTCTAAAGCGCGGAGGTTTTCGGCGCTTCCGGCGTTAGCTTCGTTTTGTTTCAAGCGGAACGAAGCGCAGAACCTGAACGGAAAATGTTGCTTAATTCGGAACGACGAAAGCTACACCAAGGTACCGGATTTTAACCGTTCATGATGGCAGAAAAGATTAAAAATCCTTTCCCACTCTGCCCGACACACTGCATTTTTTCTATACCTCGCCCCTAGAATCCTCTAACAAAATTGTAACCAGGCAAATAGTTTCATTCCTGCAACTGCATGCACTGCAGGTCTGCGACGGGGAGGAGCTATGTGTAGACGGGTCTGACGAGACCCTCATCTGCGACCAATTCGACGAGAGTGAGTCGCCCTCGCATTTCTCAAGGTGGCTTGACCTCTGAACGGTTAGGTCGCATTGACGTTCGGCAAAGGAATTCGCGTCCCCTAGCAGTGACTTGCAGCTGTCGCATTCGCGTAGGGCCGACTTGCGATTGCAGAGTCGCCCATGTCGTCCCGATCGAACGACTCAAAGTAATTTTTTGAGAACGCAAAATGCGCGCCGTTTGCAGAATATGGACAATTAGACAATTACATAGACCATCCTTTCCAAAAATGAGGAGCACTTACATTAGATTTATTCCTGCCTGAGTTTCCAATGTCTTACGAGATGCCAAATATCCCACACTCAGCGAACCATCGTAATAAATTTTTATTGCCTAACAGTACGAAGTGATGTGAACTTTCTTTCATGGATGTCACTCTCGCGTAAACATAAAGAATCCCACAGCCTCACCTAGGTCCGCGTTTTTCCACTTTGAGTCCACAAAAACCACATCTTAAGTCCATACTACGTCCACACATGATGTAGTTTTCGTGAGTGCGCCAAGGCCTAATATCATTGGCCAACCAATTGTGCCGGGTCCTCGGACGTAATGGAGGCCATTGCGATAGGTTCGACGAGAAATTGTAGTCTTTCGCGACGTGAGCCCCACACCCTCCTTCTACCCCGCTTCCACTTAGCGACTTAAGCGTCGCTTCCCTGTCTCCGATATCACACCATAGTCTGCCAGTCCTTGAATGGTGCCTTCTCCTGCACGAACGAGAGGAAATGCATCACCCCGGACCTCCGATGCAACGGCGTGGACGATTGCAAAGACGGCTCCGACGAGAACGACTGCCCCGAGTGTACGAATCTTCTGTCATTCCGCTCTTGGGACGAAATGCAGATCAATTTGCGCGGAGAGTAGATGTAGTGGCATTTAAATATGCCCGCATTCCGCAGACTGCAAGAGCGTCGGACTTCTCTCCTGCGAGACGAAAGGCGGCTGCCTGACGGAAGACAAATGGTGCAACATGATTCTCGACTGCCCCGATATGTCCGATGAGACTCATTGTAAAGGTCAGAATGCGCATGTGTGCCGTTCCATATGGGTCCTGAGCAATCAAGTTGATGCCAATTCCATCGAATTGGGAATATATTAGCACAAAAAGCAATTTCATAAAAAGTTCATCTAATCCACACCTAATGCTAAAAATTCCTTTATAACTCTTCCTCCATTTGCAGTCGAACTCTACAAGAAGCACGATGAAGTGTGTAACTGCGAACAAGTCTGCGTCCGCCGCCCCAACGATACCGATTACTGCTACGAAAAGAACTGCAAGTCCCAACAGCTTCAGTAGCGAACACATTGACAATATTTTTGTATCCGAGCATGAGAGCAAGGTTTTTTTGTCCTAGACGTCCTCAGCGACTTTGGCCGAACGATAGCCGAATCGAGGACCAAGGACATGAGCGACCTATTGCAGATTTACACTCCAGATCGAGACGAGGTGCAAAAGTACGGGATAAGCGCCAGAAACCTCATCGCCAGCTGCAGTTTCGACAATCGAGATTGCTCCTACAAGTACGCTCCTTTTCACTTCTACGAAACGAAAGGGAATAGATCCATTTAGGACCGGATAACCACCCTGTACTTGTGCTCCGCCCGTCTTGCCTTCCAGGGATTTCCACGAATGGCGGAGCGACGACTATGGGAATTGCTTCACCTTCAACAGTCCATTCTTGGAGAAGTACGTAGAAGACTCGAAAGGGAACTACGTGAAACAAGACGTGCTTCCACGTTACTCGACGAAATTCGGCTTTCAGGTCGAACTTCATCCTCTGAATACGGGGGACTCTAGCTCCTTAAATCCCATTGCTGTTAAACCCTACACTGCAAGACTGAAAAGCCATTGACATGAATGTTTCAGCACGGACTCCGGCTAACCTTTGATCTGAACGTGGATGACACCTTCTCTGTCCTGGCAAGGACCAAAGGCGCCCGCGTCGTAATTCATCCCAAGTCCCAGCTCCCGTTCCCGGAAGGCGAGGGCTTCAACATCGCTCCTGGGATCCTCACCACTGCCTCAATCAAACGGGTAAGCGTAGGCCGGGTGGATCTCGGCATTTGCGCCGCTTCACTTTCCTTCTGCTCAGGAGTAGGTATTTCTTGGTCGTAGGAGGACGTCCTTCGAGTCGGAAGTCCCTATGGAGAATGCAACGATTGGGAATGGGAACACCTTGGAAACTACTCTCAATCAGTAAGAAATTCCAGCATCGTTTACTGTCTGAATGCCAATGTCATTAGATTCGTATTACAAAGTAGTCTGTTAAAGTAGCGGTAGCAAATAGTATCTTCATCTTTTTTTAAATTTTCTTGGTTGCTTTTCCCAATTTAATGGGGTCGTGGTTCGAGCATTCCCAGGGGTCTATTTCATGGAATTTACAAGTTCTATAAGTTACAAGTTACCAGTAACTACAAGGGTCGTGTTGTACTTGAACGAAGGGCCAGCGGAACCAGCAGGGAGTGTTAAACAAGATCACGACCTTTGCAAGTACTTGAAACTTGTAACTAGTAGAAATTGTATCAATAAGTTCCATGAGACAGACCCCAGGAGCCCTCCTCCGGTGATCTCGATCTTGGGCAACAGACTCAAGCTCAGCTGGTGGAATGTCGAGCCTCTCGTGACAAAGCCGAGCGACATAATCACTCCACCTTGTACGAGGTCTACCAACAGGTCTTTTTCCGGTCATCTTGACCTGGAAGACTCCTCTTGGGAGCCTCTCAGGGGGAATGCGGCAGATGCGCTCAAACCATCTGGCCAGAGACCTCTCGATCGGAAGAAGCAACTGCTCGACGTGGAGACTCTCGCGGATGGCAGAGTTCCGCATCCGTTCACTGCGCGTTACGCCAGCCACTACGCAAGAGCCTCATTCGGCAGTTTGTATCAGCGATCTGGTGCTTTCCGTCATTACACAATGTTCATGACCATAGGTGAGGGTGGGGAGGAAAACACTCTTAAAAACAGAGTTTTGCTTTTCCCGAGAAACCTCCGATCTGGTAACCGCGGTTCGCAAAGTTCCTGTAGCAGTGCAGAAGCCTTGGAGATTCGGGTGCCGATCTCGTTTCGGCATCGCCCATCACTCCACAATCAGACCCCGAGATACTTGAACTTCTCCAGCAGCTCCATTGAGACTCTTTCAATGAGGACACTGACATGCTCGTTGCACTGAGCAGGATTTCTCGAGAAGACCATGACCTTTTTCGTGGTGACGCTCAGTTTCATTCCGGCTGCAGTGCATTCGGAGTCGAACCGATCGAGCACGCTCTGGAGCTCCTGTCGAGAGCGGGTCAAAAGAATGACATCGTCGGCAAAGAGAAGTATCTTAACCGCGACGTCACCGACGTTGACGACCTCCGGGCCGAGGCTGCGCCTACAGGTCCTGTCCATGTACACCAGGGACAGGAAAGGTGAGAGGACTCAACCCTGCCGGAGTCCAGCACGTTCGAGAAAACAAGCCGAACTCCTCCCGCTCATTTTGACAGCTTTTGCAATCGATGTAAGGGGATTGAACGACCGGTAATAGCTGACCCTTTATCCCATACTCCTGCAGCTCTCCCCACGGTTTTCCTCGGTGGACACGGTCGTAAGCCTTTTCTAGTGCCACAAAGCACATGACGTAGACATCTTTGGCATTCCTTACGAAAATGTCTTATTGGATTCCTATATATTTCTTTTAGGAATGTATAGGAATCCTATAGGAACCCTATAAGAATCCTATAGGATCCTATATGCCCCATAGAGTTCAGTTTGGGACCTATAGAGTTCCCTATAGAACCTATAGAGTCCCCTATTGAACCTATAGAGTCCCTATGTAACCTACAGATTCCCTTTATAGAACCTAAGGGTTCCCCATAAGGCCTATAGGGTTCCCTATAGGACCAGTAGGGTTCGCGTTAGGACCTATAGGTTTCTTTATAGGACATATAGGGTTCTATATAGGGCTTATACGGAACCCTTTAGGCCTATAGGGTTCCGTTTGAAGTTCTCCTCTATGCCACTAGATGGAAGTATTGGGTTCTCACATTTCTCAAAGGGCACAAAAGTGCCCTCTCTTACCCAAGGAATCATCTCTCACAAGAGAGTTTGAACTTCACCAAATGTCTCGCCTTGCCTCATTGCAGCAATCAATAAAATTCGACAGTTCCTTATTTGTCATGCCCATCTTCCATATATAATCAGGGAGTACCTTGAGGAAATATGCTCTTATTTCTTTTGAAAATCACGTACGAGACTCCCCACTCCCCAAATGGAGTTTCAGTAAAGAGACGTGCTCGTAGGTTCTGTCTCCTATATTCTTAGTCCGAGAGAAGAATACTACTTCTTCTTACCGAAATAAGTAGACGTGCAATCCAGCGACACATGTCCCCCATCATGTGGCCATAACTTATGCAGATCCCCACAGTACTGGTAATGATAATGCATGTGTCTGAACCATGGAAAAACCCCTAATCGGTTTTTGATTTACACCGAAAAGTTGCGCCATTATTAACCCCAGTCGTCTTTTCCGTCGTAATGCCTGGGTTTCGAAACCCAAAATATCCTCCCTGAATCCTATTTGTCAGGACACCTATAAGACCCTATAGGAATCCTATAGGATCCTATAGAATCCTATAGGTTTTTCGTGTTTCAAAAACCGATAGGAAAGTCTATAGGTTTCCTATAAGAAATAACTATAGGTTTCCTATAGGACATTTCCGTAAGGGATACTCCCAATGTCTCTCGAGGATCTGGTGAAGAGGGAACAGCTGGTTCGTGGTGGTGCGCCCTTCACGAAAGCCACACTGCTCCTCTTGGGTGGCTCCACCCACGGCTGCCCGAGCTCTCTTTTCCAGCACCTTGGAATAGACTTCACTAGGAATGCTGAGGAGAATGATCCCACGATAGTTCGAGCACTCCCTGGAGTCCCCCTTCTGAAAAAGAGGAACCACCACACAGGTTTGCTATTCCCTAGGTGCCGTTCCCGATTCCCAAGCAGCCTGACACACAATATAAAGCCACGAGCACCCATTTGCACCCATTACTTTCAAAAACTCGGCCCGGATTTCATCCAGACCAGGAGAATTCCCATTCTTCAGGCCAGCAATGGCCTGCAGAACTTCCTCCATGGTGAGACTAGCCTCCGAGCTGAGAGGCTCCAGAGCGAGTAGGTCAGTGTCCACCGTTGGTGGGTTTAAGAGCTCTTCAAAGTGTTCCTTCCACTCCCAAGTATGTTCGCCTCGGCAGCCAACACCTCCCCGTTTCTGTTTTTGATGACCCGGAGCGCATGTTGCCCGCCTTGCCGTAACCTTCGAAAGTTTTGCCAGAACACCTTGAGGGCAGTGCGGTAGTCTGATTCCATTTGATCGCCGAATTTTTTCCACGTCTCTTGTTTCGCTTTGACCGCAACACGAACAACAGTTCGTCGCGCCTCGGAATAGCACGCCCTAGAATAATCAGGTTTACTGGACATGATTTACTGGACGGTAGGCTACCTTCTTGGCCATGAAAAAGGCACTGAATGAACAGAAGAAGAAGGACGGGCAAACCAACAAGGAACGCGTCCACCAGCAAGTCTCGGACAGACCAACTACGACGACAAACCAAGCGCCAACTCTAGAAGACGGGATCCACTGACACACCCCCAGCCCTTGTTGTTTTCTTGCATGCATGTTCAGGTGTCATGTGAGACAGAGAAGAACCCCCATTTGGAGAAGTTAGAGTGTTCATCATTTGTTAGGTTACTATTATCTTTATATCTACTAGTACAATGCACTTCTTAGTACAATGTCTACACAAGCCAAACTTTTCTTTTGTCCTGATTAATGCTCGAAATATTCCTAAAATACTTATTTTTACACATTGCATAGAAGCCAAAAGAAGGAATTAGGGAGTTTAGCGGGCTGCCTCTAAGAAAAACTAAATTAAGAATGGACACAAAAAAGGATAGAATGTTGGTAAAAAAAAAAATCCCAGCTCCTCAGGAAACGAAGAGAATTATGAAAACGATGAAAAAAGTTTGTTCGCCTCCACATAAGCACCTTGGAATTTCGTAAGGAATATGCAACATCGGTTAAACTGAAAGCTACTCCTTCAAAAGATGCTGGATAGCGGATTTTTTGCAGGCATGCTTCAAGTTGTGCGCCGAGGGTTGGTACCGTCAGATGTGCGACTGCAAGAGGAGTGTGAATCCCCTTTTCGACAAACTCAACGACAAGTCTCAATGCAATGTCCTCAACGTCTCTCAGTGTGCGGATCCCTTTGTCTCTCCAAGCAGCGGTTCGGAAGTGGTCGAAAGCTTGCCTAATATATTTAAAAATTTGTAATTGCTTCGGAAATGAGAGATGTTCAAATATTACCACAACGTATACATTTCTTAAGTTTCACATTTCAGTTTATGCCTTAATTAACCATATTTAAGAAGACTTGATGAGAAACACTAATGCATTTAAGCAGTGGTTAAATTCCTTGGAATTAATTTTCTCAAAGGAAATTATAATTAAATCATGTTACATTGAAACTCTGAACATAAGGGTGAAGTTTTCCGTGCCGATTTCTATTCGCCGTTCACCTACATATGATTTCAAATTGTTACGATAGTTGTTGAGAAATAGGTTTTTGCTAAAGTGTGAACTTAATTTGCAAATAATAAGTGTACTTTGAAAAAATGGAGAAACTTCGCCATCCGCAATTTTTTTCGCCACTTGCCACCAGATGAATCTTACTTGATCATTTAGTTACGTAAATATGACTGCCATTTGCTGAATGTTTGCTTGTTGGGGTTAATAGTGCTTCCGGAGAAATTTCTCGCGTTGAACTTACCTTCCTAACTTCCTTCATATTGACCAAGCATTGCCTAAGATTGAGACAGTGTCATATTTTAAAAGTAAGGGAGGGAATCAATATGAGGGGGAAAATAATGCAACTCATTCCGCATATATTTTTTCAGGAAAAATCACTAGATGACTGCCGTGCACTGTCAATTGTGGAGACCGTTCAAACAGGAAAGGGAGGCAATATAATGATGAATATATCGCGCATAGGAATGATGCCTGCAGTCCCCAGGAAATCGACTACTGCCTTGAGACATTAGTGTATTTCACCAAGTTTCCAAAACTTGAGAATCCTCTTACATCAATCAAAACCAGAATATGATAGATCTCCGATTTTTCCAGTGTTTTAGCATCTATAATTCTAAACATGGAATTGAAATATTGGTTGAAACTTCAGTTTGAATTATAGCCCAACTTGAGACCAATTCGGAACTTCAATGCGAGTGGATGAGAAAAACTTCGTTTGAAACGGATTTAATTTCACTTAGATACCTGCATCTTGAAAGCAGAAACGGAGTTCTTCTCCCAGGATCTTTTGTGCCTCTGTCCCCCCTCTTGCAAGTGAGTCAGCGTCTGTTGGTCAATGAATTGACAGGAACGTGAATATCAATCGACAACATTCGTTTCGCACTTTCTTCAAAAAGGGAGGTGAATTACCAACCGGTTCTGTCGCAGGCGATTCCCAACGTGAAATTCCTCCGCGCTCTCTCCTTCTACAAACGATTCCAGTTTGGAAAAGATGCCTGCAACAGACCGTAAGTTCGGAAATAGTGGAGGTTAAGTAAGCCTACAACACAGTATAACGCCACTTATTGTCAGCTGCCCTTTAAGTGCTACCATGGGGGCAGCGCTACTGTATATGACATGAGTGACTACGATCCTACAAACACCGAAAAAATACATTATTGGCAAAAAAAGCAGTGAATTTTATATCGGAAACTCAATTCCGTCGCACTACTCTACTTCACACGACGGTAGCATTCATACTGCTGCAATACGAGCCTGATAATGGTTGTTGCAGATATACTACGGTCGACAATGGAGAATGAGTTATGTGGGGAAAATCACTTTAAGAGGATGATGACGTGTTTTGCCAAAACGAATGTAGCGCTATAACCATAACACTTGCCTATGATACTTTTAAGTAGAATATTTTTTTCTCGGGAGAGATTGGGTAATGAGCGAAGGCGGTCGTATAACGAGGGTTTGATAAAATATATTGTAATGAAAGTTTCATGATATTCCTGAAATTTCTGACAGGAGTGACGATAAGAACACGGCCTACCTACACGTTTACTTCGAGGACAACAGCTACAAGTTGATCCAAGAAAGCCCTGCTTATACTGTAAGTACTAAGTCTGGATTTAGGGGAAAATTGAGTGATTGGCACGACTTCAATATATACCTTTTACTTCAGTGGGTGACCCTCGTGTCGAACTTGGGCGGGTCTATCGGCCTTTTTGTCGGACTGAGCTTGATCACCGCGCTCGAGCTCTTCTTCTTCTTCGCTGAGGTATTCTCCTTCTGCTGCTTTAAACGTCGTCATCGCATCCGGGACAGAAAGAACTCAGAGCAGCAACTCAATGGTACCATTTAACTAAAAACTTCAGCTTCTGAATGCTTTGCAATAGTAGGAGTGACTGCATCATAGCCTGATGAGATTGAAAATCAAGGTCAATATCCCATAAGTTCAGCGCCAGTGCAAGCAACAGCCAAAGGTAGGAACGGTGGCAGTGAACCACGCGTCGACGCAGGAGAGGGAAATGCAAGAGACGTGGATGCAGACCCCGGTCCAGGTGGCACCGTTCTTCGTGAACCCTGCTCTTGAGAGAAAGTCTGGGTCTTTCTCCTAACGTCACAGAGGTTTGTGTGGGTGAGGGAGGAGGGAAGGGAGGTGTGGCTGGAAAAATTAGAAGCCTGGAAGGTCGGATATAAATCCCATCTTGCAGAAGGACCAACGAAAGCAGAATTGCGGTTCCTTGCAGGTAGCATGTATGGATTGTTTTTACCCTTTCATTTTTGCAAATACCATATTCTGCGTTAAGGCAGCTCCCAATCTTATTATGCCATACGGATCCGAATGTTTGTTGGTGAATGGAATTGCATTTGTCTGTAATGTATGAGGGCCACAACCAGAAGAATGAATGCAGAGGACATTCCGAAAATATTCAATATTTGACCTAACTATGCAAGAAGTGATATTCTTGATCAAGCGGCAGCACATGACCGATGAACTAATTATTGCAGCGCGAAACATGAAGAACCGGACAACCCGCACAGAACAAGAAATAGCAACGTTGATGCAGGACAGAGATGCAAAGTAGACGACTGGTGCCTCAACAACATTGAAAACCTGTTTAAATTAATTAATATGATGCATATATACATATTACTACTCTCTTCTGAGTGTGTAAAACGTAGTGGGGGTCATACAATTTCAAGAAATCTTGCATTATCCAGCTCGAATTGCGCAGCACAATTTTAAACACGTGTCGAGGATCTATGCTGCAATGAAAGGAATCAATGATTGCATTGCTTTGAGAGTCCATGCAAAGTGAAATTGAATGGGTTTGAAAAAAAGTATGACGTAAATTAGGCGCTGAAACGTGAAATGATTTCATCTTCATTCGTATTGCAGATATGCTTTGCTTCTGATGCAACAAACGACCGTGACTCCGAAGAATTTCCTGATTCATCACGTGTTCTGAATACAGTCAACTTGCAATCCTGCACCCGCACGAGTGTCATATAATGAAGTTACTTTTCCTTTCCATGTTCGAATTCGCAGAGAGAAATGTTGTGCTGTAAAAAATATATCATTTGTGACGCATTTTCCGTCAGAAAGATGATCTCTCTAATTGTACTTGAATACACTGAACCTAAAATGAGTGTTTCTTCCTAGCAAGATGTGACAACCAGTCATACTGCCCGCGTTTGTCTTGAAAGGGTGAGAGAGAGATTCGCTCGGGGACTCATTTCTTAGCGGGTTGAAATTGATCGGTCTGCACGATCCTTGGATCTCAGTCCACTCGACCATTTCCTGTGGAGATACAGCGAGGACGAAGGCTTCAAGATGAATCCGATATTGCAGAACTCTAGGGAACGAGTAAACGGGCAGTTCGAGGCGTTCCGCTCGAATTCCTCAAGGCAGCAGCACGATACTTATCTTGACGTCTTCGAGACTGTTCCGCGGCTGAAGACACTCATGTTGTGCTTGTTTTATCCTTGGTCCGTGTTTTTGCTTGAATTGAAAGCTATGAAGTAAAGACGTTGTGGCAATTCAAAGTTCTAAGCATTTCTGAATCAGCCTGTATTATCAATCTGCTAGACCACACCCGCGTCCCGCGGGATCGGCTTCGCTGGTAACAACGAATCAACAAACATTAATGACTCGGGCCTAATTTGTAATTAGCAGGAAGAGGACAAACATAATCAAGGGATAACGTTCGAATTTCAAAGTGCCACACTTTGGGCGAATAATGTGGGATTCCTCACGTCATCAGGGAACCCTCAACTGGATATATGCAAATTCTCAGCATATCCGCCTTGTAGCATTCAAGTGAGGCAACGTAGTTGACGTTTCGAACACCCAGGCATTGGATAAATGGGATGATTTTGAGCTAGGCTCGGGATGCGCATAAACTCTCTTGGATCAATCTGACACGAGAATTTGGCGGGCAGCTCGGTTTGCAATCAAGCTTCTTGTTTGGTGCAGGCGAATACGCTATCAGAGGGTTTTTTTTCGCCACTCGCTTACAGTGGCTGGCGGAACGTAGGGACCTGTGGTGGATTGTATGTATTGTAAGTAGTGGTGCTTGTTCGATCGGAGCCATGGCTGCCAACTAATGGCATGAGCCGCCTTATATACCCCTTCGAGAACATTCCAGCATATAAAAAGGTAGGCCCCGCCCATCATTTTCCTTTGAAAATTTTTAGAAATAGTTTTAGAAAGTGTTGCATGACTTCCAGATCAGAGAAATGCGCATTAAGCATACCTAGGTATATAGACGATCGTGACTGAGTGAGTCACTGACTGACGCAAATTCCAACCATGTTCTAGAGAAGTTAAAAATCTGAAACTTGGCACACGGCTATTGGAATATTGAGTTAAGGAAAAATTCGACTTTTGGGGTACCTCCCCTGGGGGCACCCAGATTGGGTGAGATGTTTTCATGTATATATACAGGGTGTCCAAAAATATATACACACTTTGATTTTTAAGTACTTCTACCCAAACAGCATGTTAATTTTACGTAAACAGAATGTAAATTTTTTGTCCATTTTATATTATTTTTACGCAAACTGTTGTCAAGAAAATGTAAACATCTTTGAAGAAATTTCACCTCTGTGATACGTAAACAGTGATATGAAATTATCGTAAATTTTATGTAAAATTGGCTTTCCCGTTTGCATTCAAAACAGCAAGTTTCCATTCATTTTACGTGAGATTTGTGTTAATTTTCCCTTGGCATTCATGCGTATTTAACGAGCCAATCAGTGCCATTGAAGAAAATTAATATTCTGAGCCTCATATTCCTTTACGTTCTTCAGAACTTTAAGGTGGCTGGACAAGTACAGGAGTACTCATCCTCATCAGCACTCAAGAGTACCAACGTGGCCTATTGCTTCCTCCTCCCTTACCGGAACCTCGGGCGGATGAGTAGATGTTCAAGGAGCTCTCTTCCTTTTTTGATGGAGAAGATGTAGTTCTTGGGGGGTTGGGATTTTACTCTTCCCTAATCCCGTGCACTGCTGTAATAAAAACTTAACTTCAGCATTTAAAGATTCCCTGAGTCAAATATTCTAAATATATATATAATATATTCGTTGATTGCATATTGAAAAGTGGAAGGATAGCAAGAAAACCTGATACTATATCAGGAAAACTAGTACTTAATAGTAATTGTAGGATGCAGGGAACAAGGTTTCCATCTAGTGAGGAATCATCGTACTGCTATTGCAGGATGGTTAGCTAAAGTTTCATATGGATGGTGTGGCATTAATTTTGCATAAACTTGATATCACGTACTTCACGTCAAATGGAGTGATGTCTAGTTTCCGGAAAATGCACGTACACTTTGGTGACGTAAATATAGGAACGTTCTTTTTGCGTAAACGTGATGCAATTTTCATGGCAATCGCAAGACATTTACATTGTTTGCAAAGAATTGATATCTTGTTTGCGTAAACATGCTGCTTGGGTATGTTTATTTTCATAAATTCAATTTTATTATTGTATAATGAAGGAAAAGTGTGAGATATAATTATGCATTAACGCAAGCGTTCAAAATGTCCTCCATTCTCATCCAGGCAATGTTGACATCGTCGAGAAACTGAAGTGGATACATCACCCAAGATATATGTTGCCATTGCTGCACCTTTTGCTTCAATAGCTTGCCGTAATTCAGCGATAGTTGTTGGTTTTGTGGCATCAAATTCATATTTGAGGTATCCCCATGAAAAAATTCCAATGGCGTTAGATCTGGCGAAGGCGGTGGGTACTCAATACTGCCTCTTCGTCCAATCCACCTGTCTGGGAAAGTTTTATCCAGATAAACCCTAACATCGCGATGAAAATGGAGAGGTGCCCCATCTTGTTGAAAATCAAATTCCTCCTCATCCTCAAAAAGTCACGAATGTGTGGGACGATTGATTCTTGAAGCAAGTTGTGGGACACGGCACTAGTAACAGTTGCATCAAAAAAGGATGGTCCAATCAAACCCAACGAGGATAATCCACACCACACTGGAATGCCTGGTAAATTCACATGTTGTTCATTCCACAGTAACGTTTGGATTCTCGGTTGCCAAGTGCGAACAATTGTGGCGATTAATTCAACTTGAATGTTGCCTCATCACTCTTAACGATCTTATTGGGAAGCAGTGCGTCCTCTGCAAAAATTGATGAAAACCACTCGCAGAATTCAACGCTACGATTGGGATCATCTTCAGTATTCAAATCAGGACCTGCACTAATCTTGGAATAGAGCTTTTCCATTTTGCACGCTTTAAAATGTTATGCACACTGGATTTGAGGATTGCCGTTTCACGAGCAGCTTGTCCGTAATATAATACAGGCATTGACCTACCATTGACTGTACTTATTACAGTACATTTTACAGGATGGACCACCTCTTACGGTTCCATGAGCGTCCGCGTCCCTTCTTTTCCTCATTCTCGCATCAAGTCGAGGATTGATTTCACGGACGTCCCCTGTATGTTCTAGATCTCCTGGGCGAATGAAAGAGTTGGGAGTTTCAAAAGGATTCTGAATAGGAATATGAGCTTGTTTATGGCCTGGGCTCTATGAATCTGTCTTGAATATGTGGATTACAAATGTGGATTATTGATTCCTATAATGAGACTAGGTGAAACATATGTGGAGGTACTAAAGAATCCTGCGAGGGACGATTCCAGAGAAAGAGGGAACTGTCGTGTACTGTGCGGAAAGCGAGACCATTACCTCCATCTAGTGGCGTGGCGAAGAACTTCAAAGTGTCTACTTCACTGAGTGATGAGGGAGTATTTGGTGAGCAATAAGAGAGTACATTCGAAACGCTTGCGTCTGCTCACTTTTTACTCCCTGAGCGCTCGGAATATTCTAAGAGTGTACTTCCAACAAGGTTGGGTACCTCCCCATTTCGCTCATGCGGTCAGTGATTGGATGACATTTTCGCAGAGATGGATAGGCTGGAGAGAGGCAATCGAGATGCCTCCAAGGTCACCGGATTCTACCTCTATGGACTATTACTTCTGGGGAGTACTCAGAGACAACGTGTTCAGTAGGAAACCGCGGAATGTTGACGAAATGAAATGGTACATCATAGACGCATTTGCATAACTCGATGGACAGAAATACTCGTGTCGGAAAGTTTGCAGAAGTGTGGCAGGCAGATTCCAAGATCGTTTGAACGGCGACGGGTTTTAATTTGAACACCTACGAGATTAACTTTCACATATTTAATTCAATGTCATGTGTAAAGTGCCGTTAAGTAAATAATCAACTGTAAACCTGCTTTTGGGCCACTCTGTAGAGAATGGACTTCCTGAGCCTCCGGTTTTTAGTATTCTCTAGAACGAGAAAGCAAAATCGGGAGACGTTGTGAATTTCCTCTTGATATCCGTTATTCATGAAGGCCCAAGACCCAGAGCTCAGGACCCGCTTACGCCTACATATTACATGAACCTTTCTAAGACTCTGGAATAACCAAGTCCCTAAAAGCATGATGATGGATGGTGTATTGGGCGGTGCTAGAATCTGAATTATTTCGTACAGCATGGATGTACTTAAGTAAACTTTCCTCCTAGGTAGGTTTCGATGGCTTCGCAGCGTTGTAGTAGTACTTTTGCATTGGTAGTACTTTTCTTGTAAAATTTAATAGTTTTCTAGGAATAGCGTCAGGAACTGACGCTAGTTCTAACCATGTTCCAGATAAGTTAGAAATCTGAAACTTGGTAGCTATTGGGATGCAGAGTTCAGAAAAATCGAACTTTGGAGGTGCATGGCCTTGGGGACATTTGAGGGAGGACGGAATTTGCTAGCCTAGGTCCAGCCCCAGACGGAGGTTTAGGCCTACGCCATGCTCATTCACACGTTCCTTTCTCTGATATTGAAAGTGCATATAACTGCTAGAACTGCTGCGTGAAGTCATCATTTTTTGCACCTCACTCACATTTTGTTTGGGCTTTATTATAGACGGAGCTGATGGGGTAAAGCGGGATGACTGTGAGGGGGCGAAA